GACGGCCAGCAGCCCCGGCTCCGTCCTCCTCGGGCTGCGAACGAGGCAGCCCTCGGGGGCTCGGCCGGCCGTGGATGGAGGCGGATGAAGGGAAGCTAACCCGGGCCTGGGATACTCACCGCCATGATGAGAGACAGGAAGAGAGAGTGAAGTTTCCGGCGCAGGGCCTTATGGGACAGGAGGCGGGCTCTTTCCCACGCTAACCAGAGAGAAGAGGCGGAGAGAGAGGCGCGGCGTAGCGCCGGCTGCCCCCTCGTGGGCACTGCTAGCAACTGCAGGCAACGCTGGCGGACCACCAGCTTCCAGACTGGGTTTTACTTGGGCTTCTCGGCCCTCCTCCTCCCCTGGGCCAGTCTCAGGACCTGGTGGGTCTTGCGTGAAGAGACAGCCAGAACTGCATTAAATCAATCACACAAATTACAAAGCAGATAAGTTATTCTGCAAAAAATGACATTTACACAGTTAGAACATAGTGGCTTGAGTCCTGAGCTGTGAAGACAGGCAGATGTGGTCCTGTCTTGGCTAGCCAATAGCTATATGCTCTTAGACAGCTTACTAATTAGACCTCCTTCAACCTCAGTTTTCCTTATCTTTAAAATGGGCACATGATATTGTGAACATTAAATGAGGTAACTGTGTAGAGCATATAGTAAGTCCACAATGAGTGGTTACTCTTGTTATTAATATAACCCTACTGTACCCAAGCAACCCCCCAAAAAGTATTAGACATGGTATCCAACTAAAAGAGTGTCACCTGCAGACACCAAGACTGCTTATAGGTCAGTCTCTGACGGACGAGGCCTCCAGTCCTGACTGTAAGAGGGCTCCCTGACTTACACTAAATCCTTAGCAGCAGGACCCAAGAGGTTACCAGGATCCATATCCCAGGCAGGAGCTGGCCTTGAGCCAGCCAGTACCTTTAACAGGAACCAATGGGGAAAGAAGAACTTAGAGGATTTCGGTGGGAAAGGAGCCAAGCCACTTTCTTATGCTGCCACAATCCCCTTCTCTCCTCGCTAGGGGGGAGATAGAGGCCCCTAGATGTCTCTGTTCCATCCGTTGGGACAAAAGGGAAGCTGGTCTGAGGGCGGAGGGAGAAGGCCTCCCTTTGAGCCTCCTCCTTCAAGCAGCCAATGGCTCACCCAGAGCTGGGGGGCCTCAGCCAGACCTCCAGGAGAGGGCAGAGCCAAAGGAGGGGCTGCTTCAAACCTTGGAATCAGCTCTAACCGGTTTGGCTCAGTGGATAGAGCATCGGCCTGCAGAATCTAGGGTCCCAGGTTTGATTCCAGTCAAGGGCATGTACCTTGGTTGCGGGCACATCCCCAGTAGGGGGTGTGCAGGAGGCAGCTGGTCAATGTTTCTAACTCTATCCCTCTCCCTTCCTCTCTGTAAAAAAATCAATGAAATATATATTTTTTAAAAAACACAAAAACCCTTGGAATCAAGAGACCACTGAACGCAACACATGACCCTGGTTTCCTTTTGCTGTGAAGCATATTTTTGGGGTAACTGACAAAATCTGAATGACGTCTGTCGACTTCACAATGTATCCATGTTCACTTAAGGCCCTCGTTCTGATCACTTAACCTCGGTTCCATGGGAGGATGTCCTTGGGTTTAAAAAAATACACATTGCATTTTGGGGTAAAGGTGCATCATAACTGTGGCTTACTCTCAAATGGTTCCGAAAAAAATAGTGTACTTAGAGAGAAAAGGATAAAGCAAATGTGGTCGATTTAAGATTTAGGGGATCTACGTGAAGTATACATGGGAGTTGGTGCAACTTCTCTGTGACTCTCAAATTGTCAAAGTGAAGTTAAGAAAATAATTTGAGGGAAACATGTCCCCTAGGAAGATAAAAGAGAGTTCATCCTCCAAAGTTCAGTCTTGTTCTCTCTGCGCCCCCCCCCAACTTTTTCCACTGCACTTCCCCCAAATAGCTCTCACTTGACCCAGGACCCACACTGTGTTGATGAGAATCGCTAATTAATTGCTGGTTTACCATGGCCAGCAGGTACCAACTCACTTGACCTTTAACATCCCTGGGAGTCAGATACTATTGTTTTCCCATTTTACAGATGAACAAACAAGGCACAAGAAGTTTAGTAAGTTTTATAGACGCTATTTAAGTCTATAGTCTAATGCCAGAGTCCAATCTGGTTCTAAGAGCAGATGAACCAGGTCAGGGCCAAAAGCCACCCCAGGGTGCCCCCTTTGCACCTTTTCCTCCCCAGGAGCCCAGCTCTGCGGTTCTTGCACCAGTCAGGTCCCCAAAGGGAAGCAGAGGGGGCGGAATTAGCCCAGCATCTCCCACCCCTTCCTTGCAGGAGAGGCATCCAGGTCAGGAGAAGCAGAGGCAAAAAGACTTGCCGTGCTTTACTCTCAGGACACAAACTCATCAGCAAAAAGAAAAACACATTATGAAGGGCAGGTTTAGGACACTCAGGCGACACAAGAGCAACTCCCAGGCTTCTCCTGGAGCCGTGGGGGCTACTAAAGACTTCCTCAAGGCAGCGGTGGCCCTGTCTTGGCTAGCTAATGGCCTTATGCCCTTGGAGAAGCAGACTTGTAAACAAGGGCAGCTTCATTGAGTGTAAGACCTTCTAAGGCAGTGCTTCTCAACCTCCTGGCCCTTTAAATACAGTTCCTCATGTTGTGACCCAACGATAAAATTATTTTCGTTGCTACGTCATAACTGTAATGTTGCTACTGCTATGAATCGTCATGTCAATATCTGATATGCAGGATGGTCTTAGGCGACCCCTGTGAAAGGGTCGTTCGACCGCCAAAGGGGTCGCGACCCACAGGTTGAGAGCCGCTGCTATAGGAGGAGCTGTCAGGGTTGACTTAAGCCAGATGAACAAGAGGAAGGCCATGTCAGGCACGTTTATACGTTTAAATAATTCAAACTCGTAAGGAAAAAAGGAGAGTATTTCCTGTTTTCACAGAGGGGATAATTGAGGGTCAGAAGGGAGCCATAGCCTTCTTCAAGGGGACCTGCAGCTCCCAACTTAATGATTGATCTTCATAAGTTGATACTGAAAATTTGACCAAATATTTGTTGAATTTTGGGGAAGTCATTAATTATATACAATTATTGAGTCTAGACCAGTGGTCGGCAAACTCATTAGTCGACAGAGCCAAATATCAACAGTACAACAATTGAAATTTCTTTTGAGAGCCAAATTTTTTAAACTTAAGCTATATAGGTAGGTACACTGTTATTAACTTAATTAGAGTACTCCTAAGGCTTAGGAAGAGCCACACTCAAGGAGCCAGAGAGCCGCATGTGGCTCGCGAGCCGCAGTTTGCTGACCACGGCCTAGAGACCCTAATTCCATCTAGTCCGCTGACTGAATGCTTTGTTTTCTTTCCAGCATCCAGAATATAGTGGGTGCTTAAGAAATTCTCAAAAGGACATAACAATAAGACCCTTCATCTCTAAACTGAATTATGTGATGATACTTAGGGTTGGGGAACTGGGCATCAACACTTCAGGTTTTTGTTTTAATGTCATTATAGGAGAGGCCCCCTCGGCCAACCGCTATAAAGTGACTCTCTCATGTCATGGCTTCACCCTTCGTTAGCGTTTTCTTAGCATCTGCCACCATCCACTCTATTATAAAGGTGACATATCAGTTCACTGGACATACAGGACAGAAGAGGTACAGAGAGAATCAAGATGCCTGAAGTTAAGGGCCAAGTGGGAGGCCAGACCATCAGAGCAGCAGGACTGGTCAGCACCTGGGCCTTAGGTCGGGCAGACGATCAGGACCCCGGTGGAGTTTCTCCTTTCCAGCCATAGGTCCTTGAGCACATCTCTCGGCTTTGAACCTCAGGCTCCCGTCAGTGCCACGGGAAACCCCGGCCTCCTCCTCAGAACTTTACATTAAAGGCAGAGCTGGGGGAGGGGTCCTGGGTCACACACAGCACACTCCCAGCGGTGGGGCGGTCACTCGTCCTTGGCGAGGGAGGCTCTCCGAGGAGGGAGGAGGCGGTGACTGCCATGGGAAAGGCTGGGAAGGGAGCGGAGGGAAGGCCTTGGTGGGCGGGGCAGAGGCTCCAGAAGAGGCAACCTTCCTCCCTGTAGAGAAGCAGACCATGCAGCGCAGAAACCACATAGAACACTTCTTTTTTTTTTTTTAATATATTTTATTGACATGGCCTTGACCGGAATCGAACCTGGGACCTTTCAGTCCGTAGGCCGACGCTCTATCCACTGAGCCAAACCGGTTTCGGCACAGAACACTTCTTGTCTCGTGGACTCAGAAATGGGTGGCCCGGGCCTGGCTGGTTTGGCTCGGTGGATGGGGCGTCGGCCTGTGGTCCTCATGTTGTGACCCAACGATAAAATTATTTTCGTTGCTACTTCATAACTGTAATGTTGCTACTGTTATGAATCATCATGTAAACATCTGATATGCAGGATGTTCTTAGGCGACCCCTGTGAAAGGGTCGTTTGACTGCCAAAGGGGTCGCGACCCACAGGTTGAGAACCGCTGTTCTAGGGAAATTACTTTTAGTATGACGGTGCATAATATGCATACTTTTTAAGCAGTCGTTGTATTTATCCCTCTAAAAACCCCAGCCAAAGCCCATCAGAGGCATCATCTTCACCCTAAAACGGGGGTCCTCAAACTACGGCCCGCGGGCCACATGCAAATATAAATATTGTATTTGTTCCCGTTTTGTTTTTTTACTTCAAAATAAGATATGTGCGGTGTGCATAGGAATTTGTTCATAGTTTTTTTTTAAACTCTAGTCCGGCCCTCCAACGGTCTGAGGGACAGTGAACTGGCCCCCTGTTTAAAAAGTTTGAGGACCCCTAATCTAAGATCATACACATAACAAGTTTTAGTGTGCATACAAGATTTCATCCCAGGTGGCCAGCCATTTATTGGATACTCATAAAATGCCAGCACTGTATTAATGGCTTTCATACTTTATCCCATTTAATCTTCACAGTAGACTTATGAGGAAGATTGTTATAGGTGGGGAAACTGAGTCTCTGAAAAGTCAGATGATTTGCTCAAGTCTTCCCAGCAAGAACATTTTAGACCTGAGTTTGTGTGATCAGCCATGTGTGATCTTCAACCCAAGCTCTTATTTGTTATCCTTTCTATTAAAATAGCCAAAATATGCCCCAACCGGTGTGGCTCAGTGGATAGAGTGTCGGCCTGTGGACTGAAGGGTCCCAGGTTCAATTCCAG